TTTTTTTTTTCCTGGGGGTCAGTGGGCCCCCAATCCTAACCCTTCCCCCACCTCTGCCATAAATAAAGAAAACATTAAAACCTTTTGTGTTGGAGATAAACCTAACAGTTTAAAATACTTAAATCAGCTTTATTTAAAATAATTTGTTAGTTATGTTTAATAACTTAAATGAAACCATTCTCCATAGCTGCAGCTGGTTCAGAAAATGATTGTACACGGCCTGCCCCTGCCTCCCCCTCCTCCCTCTGGCACACAGATCTGTAAATAGAAATGAATAAGTTAAACCTTGGCACGTGAATTCTGAAAGGTTGCTGACCCCTAATCTAGAGCGTGATCACTTCAATATAAGTGGGAAAAGGCTTGAAACAACTCTAGGCTGGAAGTTACTTGTGGCTATCAAGTGAAACTTAAGTGTCTGAGCTAGGGTCTTTATATAATCCTATTTTATTTTATTTTTATTTATTTTATTTATATATTTAAAAAAATCACATTACCCAGCGTTGCTTGGGCCTTAAGGAGGGTCATAGAGCTAGGGGCTTAGGAGGTATAGGAGTCAGGGTTGTGGATGGGCAAGGAGGAGTTGAAGCCCTCCCTCCCCCAAGATTCATACCAGGGCTGCTTGCTTGCTCTTTGCTCTTGCTCTGTGATAGGAATGGAAAGGGGAAGTGCACCACTCTTCGGCCCCCGCACTTCCCAGCCAGAGTGAGGTATGTGGCAAACTGTACTTTGCTGGCTGATCCCCTTCCTCAGGGAGAAGGGAAATCTCCTCGTATGAATCTGGGGGGAAAGCTTCAGCCTCCCCTCCCTGAAGGGATCTAGGGAGTGGGCTTGGGGGCAAGGGTGCCCTTATCTAGGCCCTTTCACCTGCCTGGTGGTGTTTTGGTTTGTTCTATGTAGTTTGAGAAGCAATCCCACTCCAGGCACATCCCATTTTTCCTGGCATAACCAAACCCTTATCTTGCTTTTAAGTTATAAGAGGAAGCTGTAGATCGAATTTTGGTGGTCCTAGTCCTTTCCATTTAGGAGGCATACTTGAACAGACTGACAAATGCAGTGGCTTGGCTAGAATACCATAGCTGGAATCCTGAGGATTGTCTGAACTTTCCATGTGCTACTTTTCTCCATGCCATAAGCCGATCAAAAACATGAAATCATTCCTTGTCTTGAACTTCAGAGTTCTGCTAGTCAGTCTGACTTAATATTACATCTGGTGAGGAGGAAAGATAGGGTTCTCTTTGTTCAACTTGCAATTACAGCACATCTTGTAATACTACATGTAATGAGTGGTCTTTCAAATTCATTGTCCCTCATCCTATGCATCTTGTGCCTTTGCACTCAATTCCTGCTCACGGCCAAACATTGTTTGCTTGCAGAGGCCAACATAATTAATCAAATCTGCAAATGCTGCACACCCCTTTTAACAAAACTAGATTGATAATCAGGCTGCTAGCTGTCAGGCAGACTCTTCCCAGCTGTAGAGATCAGTCTCTGCTTTGATAATGCTTTCCCTTTGCCAAGTGGAACTAAACAAACTTTAAGTGTGGTGGGGAATGCATTTGGTAGAGGCTACCAGCATGCATATCCGGTTGGAAAGCTATTTCAGATATGAATGAGTACATACAGCCTGAGCACGAACATGATCTAGCAAGCTGGAACATGCTTGGCTTCACAGCACTAACCTTGGCTTCTGTGCAGCAGTGTCCATATAGCTTTGCAAAAACAAAATTTATTTGCGGGGTGGGAGGATGAGTGAAAGGTATTGAGTTTGCATAGCTGGCTTTCCTTCTCTTATACTGTCCATAGTTGCTGTTGCTATTACTGTGCAGACTTCTCTGCTGTTGAATAAAAGTCCTTTTGTGCTTGGGCCTCAGTGTGATGCCATTCAGTTCCTTTTTGGCAGTTCAGTATGCTGAACTCCCCATACTTAAGCTGCCTGCAAATGAAATTGAGGCAGGCAAGCAGACACATGCAGCAGTGGGGGTGAGCCACCATCCTATTCAAATGTTAATAATGCCTGAGAACAGAGCTCTCATTTTTAGGTCTGTTCGAGACTGGTTCCTTCCCCCACCCCACACACTTCAAGCTAGATAGTGGCCTGCAGTCTTAATACCCTTCTGATAGTCTCTGCAGCAGCATGCATTCCATTGCACGTGATAAACATTTGTTTAGGTTCCTGGGACCCGCAGGAGTCTGGTCCAAATGTCTGGACCAACTCTTAAGCAAGTAGTCCTTACTTAGACAAGTCCCACTGAAGTCAGAGGAACTAGGTACATGGGTGTGGTCCAATATTTACTACTGGTGTTATAGCTACCAGCATTGCTGTTAGGCCAGCGTAACTCTAACTCCACAGCAATGTAGACACAGCTGACACTGGAGGGGATTCCCCTTGTGTGGGAACACCCCTGCCCTGCAACAGTGATAGTTGACAGACATGTTTTTCCATCAACCTAGCTGCTTTCTATGGGAAGCTGTAGGTCAGAATGGTTATCACAAGCAACGCACATGGAGCCAGATGGGAGGGGCCAGCTAGCAGCAGGAGGCTGCAGTGTGGGCTTCCTCCCTCCTCCAGTTGCTGGCAGTGGTGACAGGGAAGTCACAGGCTGGACAGCTTCAGACCACATGGTGCTGCTCTAAGGCCACACTGCTCTGGGGAGTGCTAGGGAGGGGTGGAACGAGTGTGGGGCAGAGCAAGGGAGCACAGGCTGTACTGATGCTGCCGCCCCCCCCTTCCTTCCTCTGCCACACATCACCACTGTTACTATATTGGTCAGGGGTGTGGATTCTTCACATCTTTGATCAAGTTGAACTAATTTAAGTGTAGACCAAACCTGGTAAATACTGCCTTACTATTTACAGCTAAGCAGCAAGTGTACTGATGTCTCCGATCCAGCATTTTTTTTCTGGTCTTATAAGCCTTGGGCCATAAAACCAGTAATACAAACTATGCAGCATCCCTTGAGTGATAAAACAGGGTGGAAGGTTGCTGAAGACTGAGTGATTTTGGGGGGAGGGGGGAAAGGAGTGATCAAGTCAGCACTACTGTTTCCTTATCAGATTGTTGCCCTATTAAGCACAGGTTGGAGGAGAGCAAGTAATTCTGAATTCTGACAGGTAGGATGGGGAGTGAGTGCCTGCAGTCTTGAGACTTGTTGGATGCATTGTTGAGGGAAAGGAGGGCGGGGAGATCATAATTTATATAGAATAGTCTGGAAGACTTGTGGATGAAGTTCTGATTAAAGAACCTCATGAAGGTGAGGAGGTAGACGGGAATGTAACTTTCTGAAGTGTAGAGTGCACTTGAGGATATAAAACCCTAACCATGTAACCAACTAAATTCAATTGGTTACACCAGTGGTTCCCAACCCGTGGTCTGCAGACCCCTGGAGTTCTGCAGCAGTACTCTAGGGGGTCTGTGCGGTGCCTCCTGCAGCCAGCAAGTCCCTTAGCCTGCACTGCTTTCCGAGCTGCAAGAAGCAACCGGGGTTGAAGACTGTGCTGTCAGCTAGCACTTCCTTCAGCCTGCCCTGCTTCCCCAGCAGGATGAGGGATGCCACTGGAGAAGCAGCATGGGCTGAGGTGTGTGCAGGCTGCAGGCACACTATATTGTTTTGGGGAGGGGAGGATAGTCCATAATCTTTTAATAGATTGAAAAGGGGTCTGTATCCTCAAAGGTTGGGAGCCACTGGGTTAGAGTTAAACGTTCCATGGGCTGCTGGCTCCATGGGACATCTAGTGGCTAGAGGGAGGCTGCTTGGCTCTTGCTACGGTTCAAAAGCGGAAGCCTCATGCTCCCTGCAGGGCTTTCTTTTTAAATGTATGTCACATTTTAAAGGCTCAGGTGTCACTGGGGCTCTTGTACATTTCAAAAGCAGAATCGCAGCAGAAGTGGCATGTGTGGAGACTGCTTCAGTCCCCATTTATGCTGTTTCCCACTGTGCCTGGCTCCCACCCCCAACGGCTCCTGCTCCCCATCCTTGCTGCCTCTCACATCACTAGTTGACTAGCTGATAGTCAACTATCTGATAAGCAGAAGCTTAATTGCTTACATCCCTAGTCCTGTCTTACCCAAAGCAGTGCACTTCAGTGGAGCAACTAACTAAACAGCAGGTGGGTGTGGGTAGTCGTCATGTACCTATAAGGTTGTGTGCAGTGCAGATCTTAAGATATGTGGCAGGACTGAATCTGGTCCACAGAGTTCATGGTGTACTCAAACAGAACCCTTCCATGTGAAAATGAGGGATGGTTCTGGAACTGGAGCTGAGGCCTATACTGTCTATTGCTGTAGTTGCTGCTAGGGCCTTATCCAACCACTATGAATCACTCCTTACTGCAGTCCTCCTTGCTCATTTGAGAACTAGTATCTCAATTTGCACTGTAGCTGTCCAGGCAGAGACTGGGAAAAGGTTGGGTGGGGGAGAGGGGAGATGGCAGTTGTATAGCTTTCCACCTGCAGACTAGACTGTCTCTCTGGAATCTACATAAATGGGAAAATCTGGCATTTACTATGGTGGCAAAATCTTAGTGTATCAGTAACTTAGGGTTGCTCAGTGCTCCAGCTTTTCCCAGCAGGAGTCCTGGTTCAAATGGCTTTATCAGGCAGTTGAAATGAGTTTGTTAGGTGCTTAGTTTTCTGATTAAGACCTACAGTTAAGAACTATTGTACAAACCAGGGTGGTAGTGATCTGCACCTGCATAGCTGCATAGGGCTTTGTTACTACCTACCTCCAGTTTGGCATAATCCAGTTGCCAATTTGGAGACATAGTGATGGTAAACTTCTTAGAGACCCCTCTTTGCACTTCTGCAGAGTCTTTTGTGAGAGAGATGAGTGAACAAGGTTAGTTTTGCCCTGTTCTGATTGAGTCAGTAGGTGAAAGCTGGTTTGATTCTTTCCTAAACTTGCCCACCTTATACAACACCACCCCAATGCACAGTCAATTAACCAGTGTGCCCATGGCTAGTCAGTTTACTGATGCTCACATTTCTCTGACTTCTTTTGCAGGTTGTGAAGACAATTGGGTTGAGAGAGGTCTGGTTTTTTGGACTTCAATACCAGGACACCAAGGGCTTCTCAACGTGGCTGAAGCTTAATAAAAAGGTATATGCCTGCTTATCTGATTTGTCCACTTGAGATTTTAATGTATTTATTCTAGTCATTTTTTTCCTGGACTTTTGTTTGCAGCTGGACAGGATAGGATGTTCAGTGTCTCACTCCTGCCAGGGGCTTTTTCTTATACCACTCTGAATAGTAATAATTGATCGTTCTTTAGCTAGTCTGCGCTGACTGTTTCATCATAGCTAGATCTGCAATGTACAGTCATGCCAGCCAATCTGCTGTCCTGGCCCCCAGTAATCCTGTGCTTTCTCTTCAGGCAGATCTAATGTAGTAGATGAAAGAAAAGACTATCCATGTGTAATACATATGGTGAATAAGACTTCTGGTGCCAACTGTGTTGTGTTAGATGTACCGTTAGTCACAATAGTTTTTGGTAGCTGATAAATGAAAGAATATTGGCTCACTCTTGCCAAGTTGGCAGTTTCTAATTAATTGCTTAATGGGAGGTTACCTTGTGCTGCTTTGCTATGTGCTTGCTTTGACAGAAGGGAAGTGGGTTTTGAACATGCTGCTCTTGTTACTCCCTCTTTTTAATTACACACTGCTCCATTTGGCCTGCAGGCTAGTTTTAAAGCCGTATGCTTCCATCTCTCACCAGGTGACCGCCCAAGACGTGCGCAAGGAAAGCCCACTGCTCTTCAAGTTCCGTGCCAAGTTCTACCCAGAGGATGTGTCAGAGGAACTGATTCAGGACATCACGCAGCGCCTCTTTTTCCTCCAGGTGAAGGAGGGCATCTTGAATGACGATATATATTGCCCTCCAGAAACGGCTGTCCTCCTCGCTTCCTATGCCGTCCAGTCTAAATACGGAGATTTCAACAAGGAGATGCATAAGCCTGGCTATCTTACTGGTGACAAACTGCTTCCTCAAAGGTATGTAGAGTTCACCGTTATGAGGTATGCAGAGTGCATCTTTCCTTAACAGGAAGGCTGTTGCACTTCATGCCCTTCCTCAGTTCTCCTTGGGAGATGCATTTTGAAGAGCCCATTTCAATTCTGTATAGAAACACAGGTAAAAACTTAAATTTTTGAGCTAAAGGGGAGTACATCTGGCACCGAACTGCATAAATGGGTATGGTGTACAAAAGAGAAAATGGATATAATTACTTTGGCTAAATAGTCAGGGCTTCTGTCACATGACACCAGAGTCTGGCTTGCTGAACAGTACTTCTACAGTAGTTCTCCATATCCAAATTGTTTTAGTGGCCCTAACCAAATTATTTGCTCTAAGGCCAACATTTATGACAATTTTTGTTGATGTTGTTATCCTGTGTATGAATCTAGACTGTATATCACTTCATATGTCCAGACTTCTGGCTTTTCTTGGTGGACTCCCTTCTTACTGACCAGTTCTGCTTCTCTTTTCCTTTCTAGAGTTCTAGAACAGCACAAACTCAGTAAGGACCAATGGGAGGAGAGGATCCAGGTGTGGCATGAGGAACATCGGGGAATGCTCAGGTAATTGATCCAGGTTTGACCTCACTCTGCTATAGTAGATTAGTGTGGTCACACTAAATGGTAGTTCTCTCAAATTCGGTAGCTGAGTGTAGCTGGTCAGTAGGGCAAAAGCTTATTGTCACTGCTCTCTCTGTGTTGCTGAAGAGTAAGTACCATCTTCTCAGTCAGTATTGGCTATCAAGTGTACAATATCCTTAGCAAAAAGAAACCAAACTCTCCAAATGATGGTGTTTGAGAACACTCCTACTGGACCAGATCAATGGCCCATCTAGCTGAGTATCCTGCATCTGACAGTGGCCAATGCCAGCAGCTTCCGACAGTGAACAGAACAAGGCAGTTTTGAGTGATCCATCCCCCTTGTAGTCCCAGCTTCTGGCATTTGGAGGTTTAGGGACCTTATCAAAGGGTTTCTGAAAATACATGTACCCTATTGCTGCCTCACCCTTGTCTGTTCTTGTTGACTCCCCTTAGACTGAGGCATTATTTCCCATTTATAAAAGCTGTGGCCTTTCCCCAACATGTTTGTGTTCACGTGTCTGATGCTGTGAAATCTATAATTTCAGTACCAGGCAAACTGGTTGCAATTACCAGCCTATAATTGCCAGGATTCCCTCTGGAGCCTTTTTTCTAAAAATTGAGTTGCTCAAGTCATCTGGTACAGAAGCTGATTTTAAGCAATAGGTTATGTGCTAATGGATCTAAAAGTGACTATTACAAAGCAATTTCAAAAACCAGCTTGAGAGAGAAGCTGCAGAACTTGGTTTCATTTAAAAGTTTGACACCTAGAATCAAGGTCTGAACAAACACCTGAACTGGATGGGCCACTAATGACATAAAGCTAAGCACTGGGTACTTAGAGCCCACTCTATTTGCCTCGTTTTGCATGGATGCTCTGACTATTTTTTCCCCTTTGCTTCCTCCTATTTATTTGTGCCCTAAATCCCTTAATTCCATTCATCTGAAGTAGTTGTACCCATGAAAGCTCATGATACTATCTGCTATCTCTAAGGTGCTTCAGGACTACTGGTTTTTTTTAAAAAAAAAATCAGTTACAAGTTTCAGAGGGATAGCCTATATACCACAGCCAGTAGTTCAAAGAGTTCCGAAAATTCAACCTCAGAAGACCTTTGGCCATGGTGACTTATCAAGGTTTTAATGTGTCAATCTGTACTAGAGGTGTCAGTTTTATCTGGTATAGTTACTCAGATGTTCTCTCTTAAACAAAATGGTTTGGGGATCTTCCAGAGATCTTCTGCAGTAAAGGCTGACTCAAATAATAATTTAGCTTCTCCAGTATGGCCCCGCCTGCCTTGAGAAGGTTATTTAATATGTCTAGAAATTCTCTGCTATGGTTCCTGAGGTGACATACCCAGACAATATGGGGATAATTGAAAATCTATTTCAAGTACCTAAAAGGGTACTGGGGTCCTGTCTTTTGAGGATAAGACTAGGAATATAAGTGAGTAGTCGACTAACCAAGAAACCTGGTTCTCCCCAGCAGTCTTCAATGGCTGCTCTGGCAGCAGCCCCTGTCCTTTGGGACCCCCTCTTGACAGGTGGTGTGGACCTGGCATGAGGCAGGACTGAGCTGGGCTGCTTTCCCTTATCAAAGTGGTCGATAGAATTTTTATCAACTATTCGATTAGTCAATTAACTGCATCTTAATAGCCCTAGATAGCCCTAGATAGGACAAGAAGCAGTGGGCTTAAACCTACCTTGCTTTATAATTTAGGTTGGACATGGCAGGCAGTGGAGGGAACTTCCTAACTGTCAGGGTGGTTAAGCACAGGTAAAAATTGCCTAGGGAGGTTGTGCAATCTCCATTTTTCTAACCTGTTCTTAAATATCTCCAGACATCTGCCAGAGGTAGTCTAGATGGTGCTTGATCCTGCCCTGAGGGCAGGAGATTAGACTTAACCTCTCAATGTCCCTTCCAGTTCTAATGTTCTAGAACTGTTTCCAGCCACTGTAGTGTTTCTAATGTCCCTAAGCATATCATCCTGGCCAGGAGGTCAGTGATAGTTCTACTGCTATCCTCAAATTGTTCAGGCATAAAATTTACCATAGAATCCTTGTGGAGACTATTTAGTTAATTTAGGATTTTTATGTTGACTCACACTGGTTTTTAATTGACACTGTGGGACATACAAAATATTTAGGAATGAAAATACCTTGGTATTACTAGGTATCCCTCTCCTTCTTGCAAGTTTCCAAACTGCCTATTTTATCAATGTTCTTGGATAACGCCAGGCACGCTATTTGTTACATCTTTAGTTTTTAGACTGCTAGCATTTGTTTAAGTTCTAGCATGCTGTCAGTGTTCAATTGCTTGCCTTTGTGAATTACTAAATGGGACTATTGATTGTTCCTCCTTAGCTTCTAGTGCTATCCTACTAAAGACCTAGGAAAAGTTGGTTCCTCCTTTAACGGAGACATGCCACCTGAACCATATGCTCCATTTGGCTTTTACCCATCTCTTTAGTTTTGAAAAATCCTCTAGGGCAGTGCTCTGAGGTACTATCAAACTAGTTGCCATTGATACAGTAAATACTCTATTCTTGGCTTATATGGTTTCAAACAAGAATATCTGCTCTCCTTTGTGTGCTTTAGGGAAGATGCCATATTGGAGTACCTGAAAATTGCACAAGATCTGGAAATGTATGGTGTGAACTACTTCAGCATTAAGAATAAGAAGGGCTCTGAACTCTGGCTAGGTGTTGACGCTCTTGGACTCAACATTTATGAGCACAATGACAGGTAAGGAAAGGAAATCTCTCCGTTTACTGCCCCTTCATTCAACAGTGTGTATACAATAAACACATTTTCACATGCTGAGGAGCTTCCTTCTCTAAAGGAAAGGAATACTTTTCAAGAACCAGATTTTTAATTGATTGAGCTAAACAGGAAGCTGGTTCAGTTTGTTGGGATGATGCTCTATGCCAGGGGTCTTCAACCTTTTTAAGCACAAGATCACTTTTGAATTTGTCAGTCCAGGATCTACCTCCCACTCAAATACCCTGCCCCACACCTTCGCTGAGGCCCCAACTTTCTCATTCTGTGAAGATGAGATACAGGGGAGGGGCACAGAGTGACATCAAGGCGCCCTTGCCTATGTACCCCACTCTGTACAACGAGCTGGAGGCTCCCAGGGGGGTGGCTCTGGGCAGGGGGGCAGCTGATAAGCCAAACCAGTCAGGATCACCTGTCAGAGGCTCCAAGTTCTATTGGTAGATCCCGATCTACTGGTTGGTAACCACTACTCTATGCAGTCTGGGCAAACACCTCCAGGCCAAGAATTTGTGACTCTTGGCCACGTCTGACGTAAACCTTGTGATCTAGTACTTTGCATCTCCTGTATAAGAACAGTTGAAATAAAGCTGTCCACTACCACAGGGATGAATGGGATAAGAAATGGAAGTTAGGCATTGATCAAATCCCAATAAAGGGAGGCTGCTTAATAACTCCGCCTTCAAATCTTAAGGCAGGTCTAAGCTGAAAACCCTGCAACTGCGCTGCTGTAATGCGCAAGTGTAGCGGCTCTTACAGTGCGAGAGCTGGTTCTGTTGGCATAGCTAATTCATCTCCAAGAGGCAATGACTATATAATAAGAAATGGAAGTTAGGCATTGATCAAATCCCAATAAAGGGAGGCTGCTTAATAACTCCGCCTTCAAATCTTAAGGCAGGTCTAAGCTGAAAACCCTGCAACTGCGCTGCTGTAATGCGCAAGTGTAGCGGCTCTTACAGTGCGAGAGCTGGTTCTGTTGGCATAGCTAATTCATCTCCAAGAGGCAATGACTATATAGAC